GTACACTCTGCACAATTAGTTATTGTGGATGGATGAATTTTTATATTCTCCCTCTTCCATGCCACATCTAGATATTTCTTCAGTCAAAATTCCTAAGAACTCATAAAATTTTCCTGAAGTAATCTGTCACCAGTAGCTACAAATTCTATTATTTTCTCCAAATGCTATTCTGACCAGTTACTCAAGATGTAAAACCCCACACCATAAAAATAGTAATGATTGAACACCAATAGCTCACATTAACAAGTATTTTTTTAGTCTAACCATCGTCTGATTCCTACAAAACTTCTCACCTGTACAACCGCTATTCCTCTCTTTGTTACACCACAAGGAACAATAAGCATACTTCAACAGGGTGTAGGCCTTGTGTGTGTAGTGTTGGCGATTTCACGAGTCAATTAGACTGTTTGCGTGATCTTACGCCATTAGAGTGGGATAGCTGAGATAGTAGAAGAGATATAACGACTCAGTGACAGGGACGGACCAGGAAAATGATTCGCAACCCAGAAATACGTTGTGAACAAACTCGATTGATTGGGGAAACGGTGGAGACAAGTTTGAGTGTTTTGATTATGTTCATTCACCCTTATATATTTTGTGTATTAACTCAATTTACATTTATCTGTATCACTTTCAATGAAAACACCTGCCACAATAGTTCTATTTCAGAATAAAATCCGCCTACAGTCTCCGCCACTGTGAGTATACATCATTCATTTACTATACCTCCAAATTTTGTGAAAATCTATCGTTTGCCTATTCTATTCTACAGATGAGATGAATGTTCCAAATATGATAACATGAAGAATTTAATTTGTTATCTGATATGAATCAACAATTTGTTCGTTGTCAGCTGTGATATTCATATACAGGATGAGTCATTGAGAAAGAAACAATGCCGTTTCATCTTCTGGCAAGTTTTCGAGACAAAAATCTGTCAAACATAATTTCTATGTTGTATCTTCTATCCTCTCGGTAGGTGCACTAATATTACAGTACATTGTTTCACAACCAAAATTCAGATTAGCATGTTTATTAGAAATACGTTTTTGGTAGCGAAAATTATGTAAATAGAGTGGAAGGAAAATTGAAAACGTACCTACCAAATCACAAATGACAGAAATTTCTGTTTTGGGCTATGTCTGTATTGATTCGGAAACACTTCAAAATTCCATTTCACCCGAATAAAATTCATCTAAGGACGAAGCGAGTTATTTTTCTTCGAAAATGAGTCTTTGTTTTTTCTGAGGTGGATTGTAATTATCATAAATGTCTTCATTAATCTGGAAAAAATTGGATCAATAGTCTCCATAACTCCACAAATGGCCAGAATATCATTCAAGAATTGTTGAGAGTTGAAAATTTTCCATAATTGTCAATCCCAAAATTATTCTTCTCAATATCTACTGCAAAAAATATTACAATGTAGGAGGGGTTGAGAATAAAAATCGATGGTAGGAAAGTGAAATTGTTGACAGTTTTCGCGAAAGAGTTCCTCTTCAAAATGAAAATCGACGGATTCAAGTGCTTTTTTTTAATGTCAAACCAATATGAAAATTGAAACAAGTAACATTAATCAAGTTATGCCTATATCCGACCTTCGAAGTTTTGTCTTTGTTTTCAATCCATTTGGTGGTGAATCACTATTTGTTTGATGATTTTGATGGTCACCAAACTTTTACAGTTTTCTTGACCTACTAGGAAAACAATACCACTAGGTGAGTTTATTGGTTACCTCGTTTACGGGCAGATGGGACGATGACAAATATGTTTGTTTGTCGTTCGCTCGGGCTAGTCCGTTCCTGCAGAGTTCTCGGACCGTTGTTAGCCTACGTGTTCATTATGTGAGAAACCGACTTCACAACTTACACATCCAATAGCGTACCTTATTATTATTGTATTAACTGCAAATTGAACTTTAGTACCTTCTCAAAAATTATACCTTACCTTCGACATCTTCGATAACCAAACATTATTATTTCAATTCATTATGGCTCCGGTTATTCAACAAAATAAATATTGAGTAGACCACGAAATTACAAAAATTAGCCAAGACCGCTGATTACGATTTCTAGGTTGTCCTATAATTTTCACTTTCCTATCTATTCGAACTACGATTGAAACGGTGAGATAGCGTAATATATTGAACTGTGGGTCAGGTAATGATAGATCAAATTTCCACAGGCTGAAGGAAGATAGATGGTTATTATTAACGGGAAAGTGTGGGGTGATTATAGAAATTTTGGATGATTGCTTAAAAAAAAATGATATTGTTCAACTTGGTTTGAAATGAAACGAGATCCTGAATATTGACTTTTTGATGCGTTTCCAGACATGCATTCGCAGTTCTATGCCTTGCTTTCTTATATTAAAAAGGATTGACTGCTTATCATGAATGAAACACGCTAACAGAGTTGTTACAGTTAGGATCGGCGGTTATAGGGTACTTTACCAGGTCTACTCTAAATTTTTATGTCAAAACTTTAGCGTTTTCCACAATATTTAGAGAGCAGGTAGAAAGATGGACCTGCAAAACTCACATGAGTGATAAAATCTCAGACCATTTGATATAAAAAGAAAATATGAGGGTAGAGATAGCACTGGCCTAACGTACCTGTGGAAGAAATACATGGGAGTTGAAACCAAACAGACTATAAAGGCGGTAGAACCGGTGATAACACATACCCTTCTTTGGTGTTTTGACTAAAGAGGAAACAGAATACTGCTATCAATAAACCAGATGAAGTGTAAAGACTTGATAGAACCAACAGTAATGAGAACAATATGAGCAACAGCATTGATGACCATCCCTCCCTCATCTTGTGATAATGGAGGCAAAGCAAAGCAGAGCAGGAAAATAGCAATCTGAAACATTCACCAAGGTACAAAAATATCCGAAATTTGAATTTTGGAATATTTGGAAAACAAATCATAGTTGTGTCACAAATGTCTACGTTGAACTCCAAAACTGAAAAGATGATCAGTGATCCCGAGACATGCTTGACAAAAACAGCTGGTATACAAACGAGAAGCAATATTGGTAAAGTGAAATTAAACTTTTAGCTTACCTTAATATGATGCTCCTGCTCGAGCCGGTAAACAGGCCGGAGTAATTACGCTTCACTGAAAACAACTGCGAAAAAACTGAAAATTGAAGTATAGATCCAACGTTTCTAGAAAAATATTGAACTGTTGAATTTCGTTATTGTTTCAACATGAAATAATGAATCAAAGTTGCAGGATAAACCATAAATCTTTTAAAATTACCACTCCGCTTCCACACGGAACCCGAAATTCAATTAACAAACTCTTCAGGAATTTCAACCACATAAAACTCATTTATAGGTACCATAAATGGGTTTTATTGTTCAAAAACAAAAAGTCTCACCTAATATTTAATTTGTTTCATTCGAGAATTATGCAAATGCGGTTGCATTGACTTATTTATGATGGAATCCGGTAATGCAGCAAACAAGGCGTACCACGTGATTGGATTATTATAATTTTTATGTGTATGAAAAATGTCATTGGCTCGAACATTAATTGAAACGTATCAAATAAAATCAACAGAAATGTACATGAATATCTCACAACTAGATATAGTCCCAGTTCGGTGTGATTCATATAAATTATTTTTTAATTACCTTCATTAAAGCGATGTTGTTGGTAAGAATTTAGTAATAAAAGTTACACCGTGAAATCAAGATAATTTTAATTCCTTCTCAATTAATGCTATTGTTAAATGTAACTAGTCGGTCCTATCTTCAGATGTTAATTAATTCTTTGTGAGGAGCGTATGTACAAGATACTGAGATGATAATGGAACAAAGTTAGGACTGGTTGAAATTGCATCAAATATTGCAATCAAATTATGCATAACTGTGTTCGTAGACTAAGCCAAGGCATTTGACACACAGGTATATCTGAGGTGTACCACAAGGAATCGTTCTTGGACCTATTGCATTCCTCTCGCATATTATTTTCACTATATTGAAACTTATGGGGGAGATAATATCATTTGCTACGATCATTTGCCCACTCACTTTGGACCTAACCCAACATAACCTAAACTAAGTTTCTCAGAAAAATTGGACGATCATTTCTTTTAAACTTGTAATATTTTTACAGTAAAAAACCATCATACGTTATATTTTTTAGAAAGGCATGCAAATGGCTATCAAACCATGCCACATTATCGAATAATTTTTGTTGTGTATCAGATATAAGTGAGAAAAGTAAAGAACAACCAAAATCAAAATGGGAACCCTTCCATTATTGCATTCGAAATTAAACAAAAAGTTGTTTTTGTGTTACAATTGATGGCTCATCATCTTCTGTTTTCTCTTCAGACAGAAATTATAGCTTGAATTTACCGGAGGGTGGTTCTTATGAACCACACCTGAGGTGTTTTTGAGGCAAACGCTTTCACTTTTCTAGAAGAGAGACTTCCAGCTCATCCAAAGTGGTGGTTGGTGTTGACGGCTTCGAATGCTTCATTCCAGTTGACGTCAAACATGTTTGATGGAATTCAGATCTAGGCGGCAAACAGGCCACCCCAAAGAGGTGATATTGTGGGCTTGTAGGTACTGACGCATAACCCCTGCAGCATGGAGACAGGCTCCATCGTGCATAAAAATGAAACTGTGCCCTCCTGCTTTTACTCTATGACGTATCTGGACATCCAACACGTCATTAATATACCTTTGGATGTTCAGGGATCCGTTGCGGATAACTAAAAGGTCTGTACGAACATCAAGTGTTATTCCACCCTTCATTTTTGTTGATCCACCTCCAAATGGAACCCTTGAAGATAAACAGCAGAAAATGAAACGTTGATTCCGTCTTCTATATACTCTGGCCCGGCCAGCATTACCAAAAAGAGTGAATTCTAAAGGTCACATTCATTATAAAAGTTATTCATGTTGAGAAATTTAACTGATACACAACTCATCTACTACAGATGTATCTTCGTTATGTCACATTGAACTATTTTTTTTCAGGTCCAGACATTCCAGGATTCCTTCTCCAACCCTTTCGAAAACCAAAGAGGATAAGGACGGCCTTCAGCCCGTCGCAACTCTTGAAATTGGAACACGCTTTCGAGAAGAACCACTATGTAGTAGGCGCTGAACGGAAACAATTGGCGCAGTCATTATCACTAACGGAAACTCAGGTGATTATCATTTTAATACGTTTATAATAAGTGTCGCTTGTTTGGTATTTCTGGTGGCCGGGATTTTCCACGGTGGTCGGTTATGAGCATCATTCACAGAATGATTAAAACCGTTTGGTTAGGAATGGTTTGAATGAAAGTCAACACCTCGTGGAAGAAATAATCATCCGAGTCTGGGCTAACTATTATAAAATTATTGAACTGATTTGGTTGGCAGTATCATGAAAACTTCAGGTTAGGTTAGGTTAGGTAAGGTTGCTATCAGGAATTCACCATAAATGAGGTATCATAAAAACATAACGTATACTTATAGGATGAAGAAAATGATTTTTGTCTAATTTCCACTGAGATTATTATTTGTTACGAGCGGTTTCGGTTTATGGGACCATTCTCCGGTGGTAACAAATAATAAAGTCAGATTAGTAACTTTTGTCTAATTTCCACTGAGATTATTATTTGTTACGAGCGGTTTCGGTTTATGGGACCATTCTCCGGTGGTAACAAATAATAAAGTCAGATTAGACGAAATTAGACAACAGTTCAGATGAAATTAGACAAAAGTTATTTTCTTCATCCTACATTTAATATGATTTCCTACAAAATGAATACGTGATCAATTGTACAAGTGGAAACATTACGTTCAAATGAAATTAAAGAATATTGTCTGTGTATGTATTTATGGAAAGGTACACAATTTTTCTTGACAATTTTGGGTTTTCATTTGTCTGAAATCAAAAACTCTTTGGAAGAAATCAAATGTAAGGCCTATTTTGGGACAAATTGTTGTATTGTTGAATTGCCCACGAAAGCAACTAAATTAAATTATAAAATCGAATTTCATCGAAAAAATTCTTTCATATGTTAGCCTACAGAGTTTTCAGTACAACTGTCAAACTCAAAATCTTTTAGGATTGTCAAAATTGTTCATTTCATTCCGGGGGAGTTGAAAACTATCGAATGCAAATAACATATCATTGGACTTTTAGACATGATGAATGCAATAATGAATTTACCCAAGATGATACCCGATTATTGAGAAAAAGCTTTAATGACGACATCAAACCAAATAATATAATTTTCCAAGTAGATAATGTTTTGGTACCAATTGAAACAGAGGTGGATCTGATAATTGTTGTTCAGATAAATATGGGGTGAGAACATGTTGAAGAACCTCAGATAGATGAGTAATTGAAAATTACTGAATCAATTTAACACAGAAAATAACCCAAGAATGACATTTAGTATTGATATGTTGTAAGAGAGCTCCGAGGTGATACTGAAGACTTGTTGATTTTCAAATTTTCCACAAATTCATTCACGTACATCTATTAACAACAAACAATCTCAGTGCTGAGATTATTATTATTATTCGAATTTTGTGCATAACCCTCGCCTCTTCTTTGAAAATCTCTGTGGAAATATTCGAAAAATCGCAAATCCCGTTGATCCAGCTCACACAAAACTTACCCTGCCGCTCGTAATGGAAATCTGCCCCGAAAATTTAGTCACAATAAAAATTAATAAGAGATTAAAACATGATCTGCCGATACTTGCTATTATTTCAAGCAGTTATGTCGCCATTCTCTTGTTTATATTCCTAATGGAAAACGTGTGGTTGGCAGTTTTTGGTGGGCGCATTTTAATGAAACGCAAACAGAACATGTGCGTGGATTATATTTGAGTTTTTAATCGTTTTCCTGTATGATCAATTGAAAGATCCGGCGTGTTTTGAACTTTTTATTTGTCGAGGCTTCCGGATATAATCCGCGTTTTCCATCAATGGATTGGAAGGGGAAGCGAGAAACACCGGTTAATCTGAGCTTATATCAACAGCAGGAGGCTGATGGTTTTCAATGGACGCGGTCCTGGAACTTAATTTTCAATTTTTTTTCTATTGAAAAGTGTAACGGGATGGGCGGGCTTCGACTATTTTACGTTCGCCATAATCATCTTACTGAGAAGATATTCGCAATGTGGTTGATAAATTTGAGTCCACTGGTTACTGGATACACCGTGCTGTCAACAATAATATATTCTACACAATTGCATATGCAGATGAAGTTATCATGCAGACCGGCAAATTTGTGAACACACTGTGCGATAGAGCGCAGGATAGGCTGAAATTAATTGAAACATGGTGTGAGGAACATTCACTGTCGATCAAACCCAAGAAGACTGAGATGGTCCTTTTCACCAGGAAAAGAAGTTTATTGGGCTTAAAACTTCTCTTGGACGTATCCTCGACAGGAAGCTAACATGGAACTCTGACCTAGAGTAGAGAAAAAGAGCATAAGTGACTTATGAGCAATGTTGGAGGACAGTGGGACGCGCATGAGGTGTTTCACCCCGTGTGGTCAACTGTATCTACACCTATGTTAACGTACGGAGCCATTGCATAGGGACCGAAAGTTCTACAAGCAATGGCCATCCAAAAATTATATCAAATACAGCGACTGGCTCGTTTGAACGTCACAGGAGCCTTGAGAACAACACCAACCGCAGCAATGGAATTAAATACGGGTCTGACCCCTCTGGATCTGTACGTTCAGGAGGTTACGTTAATGGCCATGGTACGATTGCGCAGGGCTGATGTGAACCTCGAAGTAGGAGTGGGTCAATTGAGGCTGGGCCTATGGCGAGAAGCGCTTACTGCGCAACCTCTGCTGCAGGTGCTGCTGATGTAATTGAACCCAGGTTTGTGTTCAATAAACCCTACAAAATATAAATAAAACAGAACACAGAGTCATATGCTACAAATGCAATACGCATATATATATAGACGGCTCAAAAACCAAAGAAGGCTCAGGATGTGGAGTGTACTCCAGATCACTTAGCCTAAGGATTAAGTGGGGAATGGGAAAAATACCAGAGTAGTCCAAACCGAACTGGCCGGTATCTCAATCGCCAAAAAAGAAATAACCAGGAAAGGAATTTCTGGCAGTAACTTAAATAACTTAAAAATCTGCACTGACAGCAGACAAGCCCTATTAATCTTGAACAGACAACGTGTAACTAGAGGGTCACCAAGATTTAGCCAAAGCTTCGATAGATGATAACATTATCCTGAGGTGGGTTGATGGAAACCATCATCTGTACTTGTAACCCCCCACTTGAAAACTCCTTTTCCGCGATATAACGTAAAGCAATTTACGGTGAATTCTCAAGTTCATTAGGAAGATTATCTCCCCATTTTGAACCCTGGAAGATATTATTACCGTCCATTACGGCCTTTATTGTTCCTATCCGATGACGGATTCCTCGAACCACACGGAAGATCGGGCCGGGTTGATAATTTTAATTAACCTCATCAATTTCATGACTGCCAACATGCGTTCAGTCAATTCTCGATCGGTTGACTGGAATTTAGTTCCTTCTCAGAAAACGATTATATCCATCTCCGAAGGATGATTTGACGAAGTGGTTGGACTCGCAGTGCTGGCTTCTTGGTCAATGATGACAAATGATTGTGGTGGGATTGATCTGACATGCGACATGTCACAAATATTGTGTCCTTTGTCAAGGAATATGAAATACATTCCTGAATATTATTTGAGGAGCTATACGAGGTTTTTCGACATTTATGGGATTTTGTGTACCTCTAAAGTGAAAAAGCTATTGAAAAATGCCTCATAGTCATGTCAGTGAGTGAAATTTCTTACCATAAGCGTTGCATGGTAGTTTATAAATGAAAATACACTCCTTTTTAGACATTTATTTGANTTATCATCAACACAAAAAAACTACTTTTCGGTGAGTAATTCAATTAAGAACTCATTATTTCTTGTGAAATTGAAACGATAATAATCGTATAAGTTTTGTGGAAGGTAAATTTATGAAAATTCATTGTTATAGAGCCCTACCTAGGTAAACTTATATACTCCTGATCTATCTGTCACTGGACTATAGTATTTATTGTTTCAAATATATTTGCTTGAATTATTTGTTCTGTAAGTTACGTTCAAGTTTCTTTTTCAAGCGAGCGATATTATTGGTGAATTCACCAAAGTGGGTTAACGACACGTACTAACTCTTCTTGAAGTTTAATAGACTTGGTTCACCTGCTCCTTCGAAGTTTTTTGGATAATTTTCACGTTGTAACCGTTGTTAATAGGAATTTGTTTGATGAAACACAGTTATCTCTGAAAATTATTTTTTGATAAGGGAATATTCAGTAGTCTACGAAGCATACTGTTGAATGACTTAGATCATCATAATTCAAATCATTGATGTAGTCTGTCTGTTGAAAAAATAAGGTGAATTTTCATTTTTCTCAAATAATAATAATTTATTCGTCAATTTCTTTATTGTCCCCTACAAAGTAGTCCTCCTCGAGACGAGTCACCATAGAAAATAAAAAAAGGCTAATCGACTGTACGTAGCCTGAGAAATTTGAACAAACACCTCATTTATTGAACAGATCACTATGTAAAGCACTAGTTTCTAGTGCTTCACATAGTTTACTCAACATTACACTAGCTAATCCCATGACAAATATAATTATGTTAAGAAGTAATCGAACTGATCATCGAATCGCCACTTGAATTATTGCCACGCCTTACTATTTTTTGAGCTATGATGAATTTCACCGTTCGATTCATATGGGGTGTAATAAAACTCGATTCCAACAATGCTCATGAGCCCAGTGCTCATGAGCAACCATAAAACCCGCACTACCATGTTCGGCAATCGACAGCCCCACCGATCGCAATCTAAACTTATTTTAGCACTTATTTATTATGCCGTTAAGATCTGACATGTACGTACTTTCACGTGCAAGGGCCCCGAGCTCAATGCATGTCTGAAACCCCGATAGCATCTCGACAAAAAGAGCTTCAAACTAATTATTCATTTTCCTTCTAATTAATAGTATTGATAACACAACGCGTTCAAAATTAATAATTTAATAACACGTTGCCAAGTAGTTTTATTATAATATATTGCGCTGGATGGTGAGGCTCTGCGATGTTTTGGAAGATAAGCCTGCATCTGACGTTTAAACT